CCCCCCCAACCCCCCACCCTTTTCTTGTCTTTGTTTATTTCTCAAGGTGGTGTCACACAAAATTGGACTGTGTCAGGAGCTCTTGGGCTACTTTGGCCTCTTTCTCATTCGGTTTCGCAAAGAGGGCAAGCTCTCTGGTAAGGAAAGAAGGAACGCAGGGCAGCCGGGAGATGGGGTTGGGCAGGCGTGGGCACGTGCTCAGCCCAGGGGATGCAGGAGATACCGCCGAGCAGGGGCGATGCGTGGTCCCTACTACTGTCCTCAGTAGTCCCTGGATCAAAAGTTGGGGGATGGGCGGTCGTGTCTGTGTTCAGGGTGAGCTGGGGATGAGCCACTCCAGAAAGCTTGCATGGACCAGAGCAAGATGTCAGGCCCTTACCAGTAACTGCACTTGCTCTTGTGCCTGCCCTGGTCCCAGTCCTAATGTCTGTCTCACCTTTACCCTTATGGCCTGGCTGCTGGCCACCAGCCACGCCCTGGCCTCCCTCTGGAGTGCTGGACTTCGGATGTCAGGACATCCCATCACGCTATCGCTTCTCCTCATTAAGGAATGTTTGCTATAAAATGTGGATGCCATAAATAAGTTCTCAGATTCTTAAAAAACGTAAGGAGTTAGTGAAAGACGACAGTGTGGTCCACATGGCTTTTGCTTTCCTCTACAGTGCATTTCTAGGTATTACAAGCTATTTAGTTGTGAAATGGTATCAATTATCTGAATGCCACTTACACATGTTCTCAAGAAGCTGCAGGGAAGTGGTTTTGAGTGGGAAGTTAAGGGGTTTGTGTGTTGGCTTCACCACTAAGATCTGTGGTGTGCTGGCGAAGGCACTAGACCTCTCTGGACCTCGGTTTCTTCATCTGTATTGCAGTGGAAAGTACCCCCTACGAACGGTGCTGCTGTTTTATGAGGGTGAAATGCTATTTATCATTTGGATGAATTTCGGAAAGTTAAAAATTACATACAAATGCGAGAGAATGTGATCAGGGTGATTTTTCTTTCCAATGGCAACGCTTTATTTTCTCATTTCGAAGCCTCTGTATGTAAACTGTTTGTGCCGTTTCAACCAGGAAGACTCCCTTTCCCCTTTCTCTAGTCATGAAAAAACTGGCGGACTTTGAACTCCCTTATGTGAGTCTCAGAAGTGCTGGAATGGAAAACTGCAAGGTTGGACTCCGGAAGTGGTAAGCGTTTGCGGTGATGGTAGGTATTTGAGGATGTTTTCGGTTCCCGTTGAGATTTTGTCGGTCTCACCGGATCAGCTCACCACCTAACAGCTAGAGAGGGACCAGGAGCTTGCGGAAGGTTAAGAGGAAAGTAATAAAGAAGGGAGAGTGGGGAATGAACCAGAATATTTGTCCTAAAGAATGGGATGTTGAAGATAACTCCCACTGGTCTCCAGTAAGTACTTGAGGGATATTGTCATGAGGATGGTGGCCCTGAAGGTAAGTCTTGAAAAGCAAGTGCTGTTGGGGTGGGAATCAAAGCAGGGATTATGAGAAATGGCAGGTCATGGGCTTGCTTTGGAATGGATTTCAACTGTACTAATTGAAGGAATTTATTGATGATTACAAATAGGTGCAATTCATCTGTTGCACTGTGGTGTTCCCTAAAGGCAAAGGGTAGACTCAGACAACTTGCAGTGAATTTGAACTCTTAAGTATTTGGCTTACATTCTTTTTTTTTTTTTTTTTTTTTTTTAATTTTTTTTTCAACGTTCTATTTATTTTTGAGAGAGAGAGACAGGCATGGAATGGGGGGGGGCAGAGAGGAGACACGCATGGGATGAGCAGGCTCCAGGCTCCTGAGCCATCAGCCCCAAACTGATTACCGGAGGCTCCAGTAACTCACCCGGACAGAGATGTGACCTGGCTGAAGTCGGATGGCGTTTAACTGACTCATACGCCACCCACTACTCCCACTTCTTAAAGGATTCAATAACAAATCTTTGTTCCAAACCAGGAACCAGCCACCCATTAGACTGACTGAACACCTTGCAGAAAATACTATCCCGCTGGGAAACAAAGCCCCTATGAAGCGAGCAGACAAACCTGGGGCCTTCTCCCCACCCCCCCACCCACCCCACATATATCCTACAACCTGTAGTCTCCAGTGTTTATTACCATGGCTGTATTGGATTGCTTCTTTGGTTTACTCTCTCCCAGCCCAGCTATTCTGTAATCGGAGCACAGAGAGTATTAAAGAAAGGCATTTTGTAATCTAGGAATAGTAGTTATCTTGACCTCATGATGCCTTGTTTACAGCTCCAGTCTGTGGTTTTGAATTTTGGAAGGACATTCCTGGCAGGGCTAGAAGTTCATCTACTGCTATTCAAAAGTATTCTGAGAAACTGTCAAAATCTGTGGGATGGAACCCTAAAAAGGCGAAAAGGAAAAACCCTTAGCAGTTCCATCTAGGTGTTTCTAGAGTAGCTGTTCTTCTAGAAGCTGATTAGTGTAACAAGTGGCTGAGCATGGTCGTTCCTAGGGTCAGAGTATGTGAGTCTAAATCCCAACCAACTCACTGGGTAGCTGAATAACCTTAGCCAAGTTATTCAAGCTCACTAAGCCTCAGTAAAATGGGAATAATAACAGGAGTCTAGCTCATATGATTAGTGTGAGGGTTAAATAAAGTAATCCCACACTCTCAACAAATTTTGGTCTTGTTTCTTACTGTTATATTGAAGATAATAATAATTATAATAACAATAACAGCAGGAATCCCTGAGGCTTAGACTGCTTTGCTCATGGACTCTCCAGAGAACTTGAGATCAAAGGAGACCTGAGGACTCTGTCCCTTACCTTGAAGCCTTAATTGGTAATTGAGTTTTGCCCAGGTCTTCATTAAATAGGTATATTCTATGGGCACCTGGGTGGCTCAGTCGGTTAAACTTCTGACTCTTGGTTTCAGCTCAGGTCATGATCTGGTGGTTCTTGAGATCGAACCCGATGTTGGGCTCTGCACGGACAGTACAGAGCCTGCTTGGGATTCTCTCCCTCCCTCTCTCTCTGCCCCTCCTGTGCTCACGCTTTCTCTTGCTCTCTCAAAATAAATAAATACAACTTAAAAAAAAATAGGTATATAGTAGATCATCAGTGTAAGATAAAATGTCACTCACACACCAGCATCTCGGATCCAGGCAGATGGCCTTTGCTCATGGGAACTGGGAAGGAAGGAGGCCCCCACTCCAGCTGTTAGAGCTGAGGGTCAGGTCACTCGAGGGGAAGAGCCTGGAGTAGGATCCTGAAGGGACCTGGTCATCTGTCTGGAAAAGTCTGAGTGGGAGCAGGGAGGCCAGCTTGGCTGCCGGGAGCTGTGGGATTCCCAGCAGGTAAGGCATTCCAGCAAACAGCCAGAGTTTTAGGGATTTTTCTGTCTGTGAATTCTCTGGTGCACCTCTCCAATTATGGTACAGTTCCTTCCAGACCAGAGGGAGGCTGCCCTGGCCTCTCAGAGCCCCAAGTGTGGGCTGGGTCCGGGGGCTCTCTAGCTCAGATGCAACAGTTGCTATTGTCAGTCACGGAGAACAGGGTGCCTACGCCGCGTGGGCAAATGAGCTAAATCGGACATAACTGCGCATGCTTCTCCCCGCCCCCCAGGAGGAAGGTGACCTTCAAGTACCATTTTCATCCTTTCCTAGTCCATGCCAATCCCATTGGTCTCTTAACCACACTCTCATAAGTGCAGTGATTCGGCTTACCTCTGCCCTCAGATTGGTTTAGACCAGCTGTGGTGCACCCTTTCCGGACCGTTTCTATCAATTCTTAGCAGCTCCTGTGCTCATACAGGAAGTATGATTTCAGTTTAGCCTGGCGATTCTGGGCCCATTAGACAGGCACGGAGCCCTGCTGTTTGCAAGTCACTTTGCAGAGTGGCAACTCCAAATAGGACACAGCCCCTATGTACCTGGCGCTAAGATCAACTTGATGAGAGCAGTGGTCAGGATGACTTTGGAGTGCTAAGGAAGCATAGAGGATGAAGTGGAAACCGTGGGGAGTGGGGACTGGAGGGGGGACACGAGGAGCCCAGGAGAGGCAGATGAGGCAGGGACGGAAGCTGGTAAGGGCACTGGTCTTCCAGGCAGAGGAGAGGAGAGAAAACACGGTTGGTTGTCGAGTGCGACAGAGGAAGGTGGGTAAGAGACGGAGCTGGAAATGAAAGCTAGGTGTCCCCTGACGGGCCGGGCCGTGGAAGGGAGCAAGATGAATGATCTAACTCCTGGGACCACGACAGTCCACAGGCTACTCAAGAAAGAGCCCTCAGGTTAGAACGCAGAGCCTGGGATTGAGGGGACGGGGCTGACGCAGAGGGCCTGAAAGGGAGCAGTTCGGGCGACAGATGAGAGCAGCCTGGGTACAGGGTGGTGATGCAGGTGTGGGTTTGGGGCAACGGCGACACCAGGTCCTATGGGGTGGGGAAAGGGCATGCGCACTTGGGGCCCGACAGCGGGGCGAGGGTGAACGGGGCGTGGGCCATTCTCCCACAGCTTTGTTGTTTGGCACCTTACTCTCAGAGCCCGCCAGACAAGAGCTTACAGTGTAAAGAAAGTAGGAGACAGAAAAAGCTAGGTGAGTAGAGGGCTGTTAGACAGGGGGGCTCGTTTAAATATTTTTTTAATGTTTATTATTTTTTTTTCAAACTTTTTTTTAACGTTTATTTATTTTTGAGACAGAGAGAGACAGAGCATGAACGGGGGAGGGGCAGAGAGAGAGGGAGACACAGAATCCGAAACAGGCTCCAGGCTCTGAGCAGTCAGCCCAGAGCCCAACGCGGGGCTCGAACTCACGGACCGCGAGATCGTGACCTGAGCCGAAGTCGGACGCTTAACCGACTGAGCCACCCAGGCGCCCCAATGTTTATTTATTTTTGAGAGAGGAGGGGGAAGGGGCAGAGAGAGAGGGGGACAGAGGATCCCAAAGCAGGCTCAGTGCTGACAGCAGAGAGTCCAACGCGGGGCTCAAACTCATGAACCGTGAGATCATGACCTGAGCTGAAGTCAGATGCTCACCCAACCGAGCCACCCAGGTGCCCCAGTGGGGGCTCGTTCAAAGCATAGGGGGCCACCACCTCAGAGAGCATGTGCTCCCAGGTGTGCCCATTGGCCGTGTCATATGAATGAACTTAATGCTCCTGAATTACGCAGGTACATGGACCCATCCCTCGACTCCATGCTGATGGACTGCACAGCAGCCGTAGATTTGATCCATATGCAGGTAAGGGTGACCAAGGACTCTCAAAACACCATGTGTTATTGACCATTTGGGACGGAAACCATTAAAAAAAAATTGTGATAGTTAAGAATTCTACCTCCATAACTAGAATAGGCAGATTCACAGAGACAGAAAGTACAATAGAAGTTATTAGGGGCTAGGCGGCAGGGAGTTACTGTTTAATGGGTACAGAATTTTTGCTAGGGATGTCAGGGATGCTAAAAAAGTAGGCATAAGAGTGTTCATGGTTACACAACTTTATGAATGTTTTTAGTGCCACTGAATTGTACACTTAAAAATGGTTAAAATGAGGGGCGCCTGGGTGGCTCAGTTAAGCGTCTGACTTTGGCTCAGGTCATGATCTCACGGTTCGTGGGTTCGAGCCCCACGTCGGGCTCTGTGCTGATGGCTCAGAGCCTGGAGCCTGTTTCGGATTCTGTGTCTCCCTCCCGCTCTCTGCCCCTCCCCCATTCACACTGTCTGTCTGTCTGTCTGTCTCTCTCTCTCTCTCAAAAAATAAATAAGCATTAAACATTTTTTTTAAATAAAAAAGTGAAAACGACAAATGCTATATACAGTTTACTACAGTAAAAAAAATTTTTTTAAGAAATAGAATTTAGAAAGAAAAAAAATTCTACCTCCATTTTAACCACCTCTCTGAGTTTTCTAGGTTGTCCCTGCTAATCTAGAAAGGTTGAGTCTAGAAAGGTTGAGTCTAGAAAGGTTGTCCCTGCTAATCTAAAGCCACATGTGTTCCCATCTCATTTTAGCATAATCTTCTTTTTACCTGAGCCAACAAGTAGCATACTTGCCTCCAGGGCCTGCTTCATGGGCACATAGCCTGCTCAGAAGAACCCCACAATTGTTTAGTATTTGGCTGTTGCCATCTTGATCCTTAATTTTGGAACAAGAGACCTCACATTTTCATTTTGCATTAGGCCCTGCAGATTACGTTGGTGGTCCTGCCTACCCCTACCCCCTAACCCCCAGAAAGTACATTGAGAGTTTGGCCTCCTTTTTTTATTTTATTTTTTTTAAGGTTTATTTATTTTTGAGAGAGAAACAGAGTATGAGCCGGGGAGGGGCAGACAGAGGGAGACGCAGAATCCGAAGCAGGCTCCAGGCTCTGAGCTGTCAGCACAGAGTCCGACGTGGGGCTCGAGCCCACGAACCTCAAGATCATGGCCTGAGCCAAAGTCGGACACTTAACTGACTGAGCCACCCAGGCACCCCTGGCTTCCTTTCCCTTCCCTGATTCAGTGGTGAAGGTTCTGCTACGTGGTGAGGCGGTCACAGATGCTGCCTCTGTGATACTTCTCCATTTGCCCCCCACCTCAGTTCTCCTGCCTCACCAGCCCCCTGCCCCTACATACACTATGATTCTTCATGGAATGGGACTTATCACTTTCACAGAGAGGCAAAGACAGAGTGGCAGTTTTCCCCTTTATATTCATAAAGCCAGAAATGACCACACTTCCAAATTGTCTTATAAAGCAACCACCAGGGGCTTTATGTGCCCAGGGAGAGGAAACTGCTCAGTTTTTCACTAAGCTCTATACAAAAGGACTGCCTGGCACAGGCCAAGAAGAACAGCTAAAGGCCAGAGGAATCACCAAATGCCTCAGAAGAAATAAAAGCAATGACCAGCCGGGGAAGGTCGGCATGGCCGGTTCACCCACCGTGCACAACTATCACAAGGCCCCGTGTCATAACTTAACTGGCAGTGTTTTTCCTTAGTGTCTCACAAAATCATGATATCGGAATCAAGGAGGTCTTCAATTGGACAAGCTAGAGCATCACTTGTGTCTATATCTCCCCCACTAGACCACCAGCCCCATGCAGGGACCTTGGCTTTTTCAGCACAGGGCAAAGCACCTGGGTGGGTGACCGAGCAGTCACAGGGAGCCCAGCAGCCAGCATTGTCAGATAAGGAGTCACAGCCTATCTGCCCATTTCTCCTTATGTGACTTTTTAACAGGCCAAGGCAATCCAATAAATCATCTTCTCAAAGCTCTCCGAAATTCTAAGGAGCCAAACCAAAACATCACATATTGGATGTGCAATGGTCACCATTGTAGTTTCATGGCTAGTTTTGAGTTCATTTCTCGTCATACTTGGACCCATGTATAATCATGCTGAGTGTAATTAAAATCATGTTGTGTGAATGGGACCATACTTTACCATTTTACACGTTTACCGAGGCTCATCGCCGTCGCACCCTTGCTATTATAGTGCATTATTGGTTGCATCTGGTCTGTTTGATATCCCGTCCTTGGTGGAGGATGCATCACCTAATTCTGATATTGTTCTGGTGGGAAATAGTCTTTCTGGCCTGGTGGTGAGAAGTAGGAACCCCCAGCATCACCGTAGGCATCGTATCTGTCTTCAACGAGGAGTTGTAAACCAGAGAGAAATGGACGGTGTTTCCTCTGCTGATAGCTGGGAAAAAAGATGGCTTCATGAAAAGCGCACGAATAGCAGTTTTGAAAATGCATTCTGTCCCTTGCTCTGTCACCGGCTGTCTCTCTCTGTGTCTCTCTGTTCACCCTTCCGAACTTTGAACTACAATGTCCCCCTGTTAAGTGATGGAAGGAACGGTTTCTAAGTTTTCTCTCAGCTTTACTAGACTGTTCTTCAAACCACAGCTCTTCGCTTGCAAAGTCTTCAAAAAATTATAGTTGATGTTATGATTATCTGTGCCATTATCATCACCGTTGTTATTACTGAATCCAAGTGGGGGTACCGAGAAGTCAGCTCCGGGGAGTCAGGACCGTAACTGCTGCCTCTTTGGGGGAAACTTTTCTCAGCTCCCCTCGAAAGAAAATGCCTCCCTCCCTCTCTGCTCCTGAGTACTTGTTTGTACCCTCCATTAAGGGTGCTACTCACCCAGCCATGTAAATATCATTTACATATGTATTTGCCTAACTAGACTCTGAATGGCCCAGGGCAGAGACCGTCCTGGGAGCTTAGGATATGTGAATATGTGAGAAGCAATCATCCTTTAAAAAAATTAATGCAGAACGTTCTTATGAGTTCTTCTGATAAACAACAGCGCCATCATAATTATTAAGGGAAACGCTTTTGATTGTTCTAAAGCAGCTGTGCCCCACGGGTGGATGTCCCAGGAGCCAATTGGACTCCCACACTGTTTCCCTTCTTTTATTTTAAATTTGAGTAGTATGAACAAAATGGAAGGTGGTATATAAAAGCATAAATGTCTGGGTTCTCTAAAAAATACCGAGGCTTGGTCAGTTCCGGGCCTGCATGTCAACACCACTGGCCTATGTGGTAACTCTGTGCAAATTAGAACAAGGTGTCCCTTGCTGTAGGCAGGCTAACCCCGTAATGGGGCTCGTGGCTTGGTGAAGGGAACATGGGCTGACCGTTAGCTTCCCCAGACCGTCACAGCCTGGTGCCCTTGCACATGGCCCGGTCTACTCACACAGCCTCGGCCTAGCTGTGCCATGCCTCAGCCAGCTAGAGCCCGGTACATGCCTTGCTCCCCACTTCTCACTGCTATACCCTCTGCAGGGGGTGCTGGGGCATGTGTGATTGAAGCTCATGAAACCCATGGCTTAGGTGATTTCACTCGATTTTTAAAAATAGGTTCTACGTAACTTTCCAGCAGCCAGTCTTTGGGGAGCCATAGAACTGAGTAGAGCCATTCGTCTGAATTGGACTCTCTCATGGTTAGAGTGAGGTACTGTATGTGATGTATTCGATGACTCGCGAGCCCATAATCAGGGTCAAATCTTTTCAAAGGTAGTGAAACAAAAGCAGTTCTGTTCCTGCCCATGCAGGACATTTAAATCTCTGTATCTGAGAGTCCCAGGTCCCCTAATGGCAAATGACATATCTTCAGCTAGTACTTACTGTCGTGATTGCTGTTTACCTTCTTTATTTAGCTATACTTTCTCTTTGATATCACTGCCGAGTGATAACACTGCCGAGTCCTTACAGGGCTCTAACATCAAGCAGAATTCAGGAAAGGAAAGGTTCTAGATGTCTAGGCCCAGTTTTGAGAATAGTTGGTGACGAGGGGTAAGTCTTGGTGTGTGTAGCCACCTACATACTCAGAATTCAGTAGCTTGGGCATAGAGAGGAGGGTACAGTCGCCAAATCAGGGTTTTAACCCAACTCGTGCCACTTATTGCTGGGTTGTCTCGAAAGCCATAACCTCTCTAGACCTCAATTTACCCATCTATAGGATGGGGGGAATGTTCCTATCCCACAGACAATTTGCAAAGCTGAGAGAACCTATCTAAAACAGGTTCTCAACAAATATTTGTTATTTTTCTTCTCTTCTGTGAACCCATTTCCTTTTCCCCAACCTAAACAGCAAGATCAAAACTTTACTCATCTTTTCATTCTCCTGATGGAGATCAGGCATAACCAGTGGAGCACAGAGACTTACATTCAGACCAAGGTATAAATGAGTGCCTGACTATTGGCAAAGAATTATTAAATGTTTGCTGTATGTAAGACCTTGGACAAGATACACTGAGGGGAAGGACTCAAGGTTTTCTCTTGAGGGCTTAACAGGCTAACTGAAGACCAAGGGAAAACTTTCTGAAAGCCTGATAAATAAAAGCAATACAGGCTAATGGTACCAATTTAAATCCCATCGGCTCTACATGGAATTTCCGGTTTCCCCAAATCTTTGCCAGCCCTGAATATTATATATATATTTTTAGTCTTTGCCAAGTTGAGAGGCAAAAAAATAAATAAATAAAATAAAAAAAATTACCGATTACTAGTGAGGTTGAATATAGATTTGGAATTTGGAATTCCTTTTTGTCAATTGCCGATTCATATTCTTTGTCCATTTTCTTGTTGGGGATATTTACATTTTTCCTATTGCTTTATATAAATATCAACTCTTTTCCACATATGATGTGGTCATATTCTCTGGTTTGCCATTTGCTTCTTAGTTTTGTTCTTGATGGTTTCTATGCATAGAAGTTTTATATTTTCATGTAATTATATTTTCCTTTGTTATGACACTTTGATTCTGCATCTTAAAAATATAATCCTTACCTCAGCATCAGATTTCTTTTCCTGAATCTTTTTTTTTTTAAACATTTAAATCTTTTTCTGGATTTGTTTGATTGGGTGGTGTGGGGAAAGAGGCTAACTTCATTTTCTCTCCCCAGTGTGGCCAGCTGTCCCCAAACCATTGAACAATCTTTTCCTCCACCCACTAATTTAACAGTCAGCTCTATAACATGCTAAATCCTTATATATGTCCACTTGGCTCTGTTTTTATAGCCTTTCATACATGAGTGTGTTTTTGTCAGATTAGCTCACTTCTGCTAAGGTTGCTAATCTTACAACTTCTGTCGCTTTAAGGCACTACAGGACATTGAACAAGAATGGGCCAAACCCACACAGGCGCAGAGGCAGAAATTAGAGGCTCTCCAGAAAGAAGACAACCAAACAAAGGTGATCAAATATTGCACCAAGAGAAATCCCTTGGAGGGGAGTTAAAGAAACATATTGGAATTGAGCTGTTTCTTAATTTGTAAACCCATCAACCGCTAAACATGGGGGTCTTTTAAAAAAACGAGAACACCATCATTAATTTTTCTGATTCTATTCTTTAAAGATTCTGAAAAGCACAGACGATATATTGTGGTGAACCCTCTGCCAAGTTAATATAGACTCTCAGCATTCTTTTTAATGACCACAGCATATTGAGTTTTATAGTTGTCATTTAGCTAACCAATTTCTTATTATTGGAAATCAGGTTATTTCCAGTGTTTGCTGCTATAAATCACTTTGGCAGTGAGCGCCATGAGGCCCAGGACTGTGTCTAATTTAAACAGACCCTGTGTGTTCCCAACACCTGGTACAGTTCCTGGCTGAAGGTCCCTGAGCACTGCGGCCGGCATTCTCTGTCTTTGAGTACATGCTCCATTATTTCTTAGGATATATTTCTAACAGTCTGTTTTTAAAGCTTCCATAAAGATGGTACCAACTCACACTCCCCCCGTCCCCAAGCAGTGAGACGAGTCTGACAAACGGCATATTTTAACAGAAGAAATGGACCCTGCTTCATTGTGTTGTCTTCTTTATTCTCTAGGCTTTGCCAACATTCACTCACTGAGTGCAAACAGTGCAACTAAAATTTAGAGGACTCATTTATACCCATATTGCTATAGAAAGTAATTCTTCAAAAGCTCAGATATTTTGAGAATTTTACTGACAGGCAGGAAAAGAAGAAAAAAAAGGAAAAAGCATATACTTCCACGATATAATATTTTCCTTCCTTGGCATTCCACCTCAGCTTTGTCACAAAAAGTTTGGAGTTCAATTTCTCTGTGTATTTGTAAATTTTGACAATTACAGTGTTTATTTTGAAGGATAGATTATTTGGATATAATTGGCTATATCAGCTACTTTGGATACAGTTAGAGATTCTAACTGAGATTCATTCCTGTTCCATCAACTTTTTGATTTAACGATTTAGTAGGAATATCGTGCTTACCGTGTGCTATACTCTACCAAAATCTGTATTCATATTTTTGACACAAAACACATTTCACGTCTATGATGAGTGTTTTACCTGATTTTACTAGATTATCTGTCATAGTCATCTTGAAAAAACTTTACTTTGAGCAGGGCACCTGGGTGGCTCAGTAGGTTGAGCATCTGACTTTGGCTCAGGCCATGATCTCACAATTCATGGGTTTGAGCCCTACATCAGGCTCTGTGCTGACAGCTCAGAGCCTGGAGCCTGCCTTGGGTTCTGTGTCTCCCTCTCTCTCTGCCCCTCCCCTGCTTGTGCTCTGTCTCTCTCTCTCAAAAATAAATAAAAACATTAACAATTTTTTTTAATAAAAAAATAAAAAGTTTACTTTGAGTGTATGAATTAGATGAAAAAATCTGAACCATGATTCAAATGAATTTAACCGATACTCTCTTGAAGCATCTAAGGATACTGACGTCAAACTGGCATTATTTAAGTGTTTGTGATGTTCTTCTCCTGCTAATAGAGCCATCATGGTGACAACTATTGCTTTACTTTATGTACATGTGCAAGAAAACCTGGAGTTGCAAATGAGTGGAATTAATTTAAAGGAGGAATTCGTTGATCTAAATCATAGATAGGCTAACTACAGCCCATGGACCACTGTTTTTGTAAATGAAGTTTTATTGGCACACGGCCATGCTCATTCATTTTTGTACTGTCTAAACCTGTTGTTTGTGCTAGAATTGTAGAGGCAAGTAGTTACAATGGACACTGTATACCCACAAAACTGAAAATGTTTACTACATGGCTGTTTACAGAAAAGTTTGCCAACCCTCGATCTAAATGAAAATATGTGGACATACCTTCTGCAGTTACGTATGTTAAATTATGTTTTTCAGGTGTAAGTTTCTTAACCAGCTCACTGAGTTGGCTAAGAGAACTGGACCAATCACCAGATGTGGCAGCATCCGGGGAGAGCACCCGGGACAAAGCAGGCAGGCACTCAATAAATCTGATCACGGCGCGCTTTTCCTTTGGTTGGAGACGGCAATGGCAGGATGATGCTGGGGGGATCCTGAGAAGAGCTCTACTGGTCGGCGTCCAGTTTCCGAGGTAAAGATCTCGTCAGTACTGAGGGATGTAGTGAGCACTCAACAAGCAGGCTTTATTGTTTCTATGGGCTGTGTATCACAAGCACTCCTTCCGGCAGTAGAGGAGAGCCTGTTGCTGCAAAAGTGGAGATGAGACATGCCTCACTGCTATGGTTGGGACCCCTGCATCGCAGTCCGCTGGGACAGGTTTTTTTACCTTAGGTGATGCTTGGTCATGAAGCGAGATGCCAGCCCACTCAAGAAGAGTGATAATGGCAGGCCTATGTCCCTAGTCCCAACCAGCAAGTCAACCCCAAACACTAGGATCCCTGAAACCATGGGTTGAGACCTTAAATCCTGGGGAAGAAAGTGCCAAGATACTTACAGAAAGTGACCTTCAGCATCTCCACCTGCCTCATCTGGCATTGATTTCCGTCTGGCTATCAGGCAGGTGGTTGCGGCAGCTGATCTCATCATTGCCGTCGGCTGTGAAGGATGGCCCCAACAGTCCGTCCGGTAGTCACAGGTACAGGATCCAGCTGCAGGTATCCATAGTGCCGCACTTTGGGGACACCCAAAAATCCGCGCTGGGTGTATGGGGGAAGGTCGAAGAAGCAAAAGACACTTGAAAGGAACATGCCGTAGAAGCTACTGCCATCTAGGGATAACATGGGATGAGCCAGTGAGTTTTTTTTCTGGATGATACAATGAAATATTCGTGTCCCTTGTGCTCCCCGACACTAAGGCCTGGGGGGAATACACGGTGTCTGCCCAGGGCTAACCATTTCGCCCCATCCACCATTGTAAGCCCTTCTGGTTGCAGTGCTTGGCATGGTGGGAGTTATGCAAATAGTTCAGGGAGTAACGAGCAGAATGGAGACTTAATAGAGTGAACCAAATGAAGGAGGAGGAGATATGATTCATTTGGCAGGTTACAACAGCAAATGCACAAAAGTGCATATTTAAAATGCTGTTAGCAATCTGCTGGCTCAGTGCATACAGCATGTGATTCTGATCTCAGGGTCTTGAGTTCAAGCCCTGCCGGGTGTGGAGTTTTTTTTTGTTTTGGGTCTGCTGAGGTCTATGAAAGGAACATAGTTTACAGTCTACTTATATGATGAATATAAGAATTATCAGAGATTATAATGGCAAAGAAATGAGAGAGTGAGCCTGCTTACTAAGTAGGGTTACAGACAGTTCCCAAAGTGTGTCAAGTATGGGAACACTTTATGACTTTAAGGTTTAGCTTTCCTCTGTTTCCTGACTTGGTTGCTGGACAGAGGATAGCTGCAGGTTCACAGTGTAACCAGGCAATCTGTCCTGACAACAACATCTATTCAGACTTACTTTTGTAACAAAGTGTTATTATTAACCACTGCTTTTAACTGATATTAGCTTTGGGGACTTCTCTCTCGGCCTTGTTCTTCCAGCTTTCTGAACTTGCCTGATGTTGTGCCAGAGGCGACTCCAGAAAAAGCATATAGCTCCCACTTTAACACGTGTATCAAAGAAGAAAGATCACCAGCACAACCTGGGCACTTTCCAGATCCTTTTTGAAGGGGCTAAGTCCCTTCCGCCATGACCATGAAGCACCTCTGATATGCGGAATGCTGAGACATGAGCAGAGGAGAAGACTGTTCACAGAGTAGTAGGGAGACATACTTCAGGCCCCTGGCCCTTCCCAGCCACACATCCCCACCAGCTCATTGTGCTTCATATTTATTTGACTAGAAGCTGCACAATAGTTGCCAGGCCTCCTCCCTTGGGTCAGGGGAAACATCAGAAATGCCAGGTCCTGAGTAGATGCACTGGCGCATGGGGTGGGGGGGCTGGGGCTGAGTTATCTTGTCACAGAGCAGAAAGAGTAGTTCTGGGCCTGCAAGTTACAATAGTTTCTTCTCTTTATTATACATTGTTGTGTTCTGCTTAAGGTAACACCTTTTAAAAAACTTTTTTTCTAGACCGCATATGCATCTTCTAAAAGAGCTGCAGTGTATTTAAAGTTAAGTCTAATAGGCTTGGGTGGCTCAGTGCTGGTCACATCCCATTTCGCTCAGGTCATGATCTCCTGGTTAATGCCGAGTCTGAGTTTTCGTGTCACTTCACGCCTGACAGCTGGAGCTTGCTTAGATTCTCTCTCTCTCTCCTTTCTCTTTCTCCCTCCCTCCCTCTTTTCAAAATAACAAACATTCAAAAAATAATAACAGTTAAGCCCATTTCTGTAGAGTCAGTGATATCAATACTAGCCATCTCAAGTGCTTATGGGATTTGTCATTCTGAGAAGCAGGTAATGTTACTGACTTATTTAAAAACTAAGAGAAATCTGCAAGATTAGTTTTTTTTTTTTTTAATAATGTTTTAAAACAATGTTTATTCATTTTTTGAGAGGAGAGTGAGACAGAGCGAGGGGGAGGGGCAGAGAGAGAGGGAGACAAGAAGAGATCTGGAACAGGCTCCAGGCTCTCCATCAGCCCAGGAGTCTCACGCGTAGCCTCCTAACTCACTTGGATCACAGATCTGAATCTGAGTCGGGTTTGATGCCTCAACCTGACCACCCAGGCTTCCAAGGACAGTTTTTTAAAGAACAGTTTTT